ATTACTCTCCTTTCAATATCTACAGTAAAAGTAAAATAGTCAAAACTGGTAATTTGTAAAATAATAATAAAATTTCCTTCTTTTGTAGTGGATTTGTATTTCCTCTTCAAAAGATCAAAAGATCTCGTATTCGAATTATAGAAAGGAAAAAAATGATTAAAGAATATTTTATTCTTTAATAATTCTTATATAACATGATAAGATTAATATAGACACTAAAAATACTGAGTGAAAGCAAATAAATTAGATGCAAAAATCTTTTTTCCTTCATCCAATGGTCAGTCCAACATGTTTCATTGAATAGAAAATCATGAATTATTTTTCATGCATTTATATTAAATATTAAATATTCTTAATAAAATTTCTGACATCGCCCCGTTTCAACCAAACAAAAATTAGAAAATGTTGCATAGATCTGAAGTTGAGTCACTAACATATTATAAATTGTATAACAAAGAGAATCAAATTGATTTATTTGATATCTAAGAAGATTAGAATTCTGAATTATGGTTTACTTTATGTTTAACTTAATAATGCATCACATTCTTTTGTCTCCTTTAAACTTTGAGTCACTATTGAAACTTGAAATCTACAAGAAGTTTCTTTTTTTATTTAAAATAAAAATTAAAATAGGGATGAGGACAAGTGGACATGTTCATTGAACCTTGCATCTTCAACAAAAAACATTAATAATAATTGTCCACAAAATAATAACACAAAGAAAACAAAGGAGTACTAAATATGTAACTTTAATAAAATGTAGATAACAATGGAAAAAATTGAGGTACGTGTCCATGTTATATAATAATTATATAAAAAAAAAAGAAGAAAAAAAGAGTACGTTTGAGTAGATGTGCTTATAAATGTAAGTTCTTATATTTAATATGTACTCCATTGTCATCGATAGAATTTTAGACTCGAGTCATGAAATATATAATCATTTTTGTTAAAGAATCCTTTACTTCCAATATATGAGCTAGTACATTATGATTATCCTTAGTTATCGATAAAGAATTTTAGATTCGAATTATGAATATAAAATCACTTTTGTTAATGGATTCCTTTACTTTCAATATAAAAGCTACTCTCTCCGTTTAAAAAAGAATGACCTCCTTTCCTTTTTAGTCTGTTTCAAAAAGAATGATCTCTTTCCTTTTTTGGTAACATTTTAATTTCAGCTTTCCATGTGATATATTTAAAGCCAAAAGATTAAAGAGCAATTCAGTACATTTGACAACTTTAATTTAGGCCCACAAGATTTAAAAATCTTTTTTATTTTCTAAAACTTCATGCCAAGTCAAACTAGATCACTCTTTTTGAAACGGATGGAGTCGTACGTTATGATAGTAGTGACGGTGGGGTATAACCTTTTATAAAATATTACTACACTTTGATGTCTTTTTCAAATTTTCAGTAGTGACGGTGGGGTATAACCTTTTATAAAATATTACTACACTTTGAATGTCTTTTTCAAATTTTCTGATTTTAACGAAGCTCCATAATTTTTGTTCAAACCGTATATTTATTATATTAAGAAGAATGAGACACAAGGTCGATTACTTGTCGGTTCACTTCCCTTAGACCGTTGAGGGTGGCTTTGAGTCAGACCTTTGTCTTTTTTCTTTTTTTTCAGCTTTATAATTTTTATTTTCTTTTTGAATTTTCAAATTTGAATTATTTCTTTTAGTTTTCTTTTTCTTTTGGTGCGGTTAAATTTATTTGGGTAAAAAATGGATAGTTTATAAATAAGTTGCAATCGACTATATAATATAATGTGTTAACAACTTAACTACAATTCAATTTCAAATAAGTTGGTTAAGAAAACGTTTGTTTTGAGTTAATAGTCGAAAACATATTTGATTTATCGTATTTTTGCAAGTTCCATACATTAACTGTCCATTTATTAGCCAAACTATAATCTATTAGTATTAAAACACGCCTCGATGTTGAGTTGGTCTATGCTCGCTTGTTGTCGAGTGGGAACAATAATTGGCCAACTCAGTATCGAGGTGTGTTTTAATACAAAGAGAGTGAGCGTTTAGATAGGTCATTACTCATTACAGATCATGCCACATAGGACTCATTGCGGATTGTTAGAGAAACTACTCAAGCTGAATGCACTTAGCAGAAATACCAAAGTTACATGTAAACACACAAAGAATGATATACTATCTATACAGTGGCCATATATTCACAATTGTCTCTAAGTTGAACTATCTGGTGCTTTGAGCTAACATTTCTTGCAGGTTCATAGGGTAGCACATAGGCGTATGCAGGCTGGACCACACGTTGTCAGCGAGGATAGCATTCACAGCATCAGTCGGATGAAATTGATCCCACCAGATGTGGCTAGAGGCGTTATTACACACCATTTCAGGGGAAACACACATGATCCAACCTTTATATTCACCTAAACCACAGCAAGCCTCATCTGTCACATTGAAACCTATAATGAAAATTGAAAAAAGAGTATGTCAGATTTGATCTTCTCGCGTGACATGTCCTGTCAAATGAATCTATATAGATCCTACACATCGCCTCACCATAACGGTTGTGATTCTGAATAATGTCCATTGAACCTTCAAATGCATCGCAGAATATGATAGTGGCATCAACAAGCTCTTCATTTAGTTCAGAAACCATATATCTTACAGCAAAGTTGAACTCCAAAATCATGTCATTTATGTTCTTGACACACTCCCCGTTCTTGCTACTGTACAGCCATAGGTAGTAAGGTGCACAGCCTATTGGAGCCAGTCCCATTACAACCACTTTCCTCACCTTGTCATTGTACAGGTTCTGTGGCACCAGTACATACACGTTAGAAGGAAAACTTTAACCAGCACTGGTGACATATAGAACCAAAGTAACTTAATTTCTACACGCTGAACTTAATAATCGTGGAAACAATGCAGAGCCTAAGGGGAAATTGAAACATATAATGCATGATAGAGGGAGCAAAATAGGTGCTAACTAGTTGCATAGAGTGATTTTGTTGATGTTTTAAGTACGATCCAAGAGGAGAAAAGAGGCAAAATGGTTTGTATAAAGCTGAAAAATTCATTACATACGAAAGCAAAATGTCGATGAAGGCAATTGCATAAAGAAGACAGTATTAAGATTTCGTATAGAACAACACTGCACCTTAATCTCCTGTTTAATCGTCTGTGCTAAAAACTGGTTGAAACTCCATGGCAGGTAAACAGTTTGAACATTTGAGGCATTCAGGAGATAGTAGTGAATGTAGTCATTGCTCCCGATCGAAATGTAAAACAAGGAACTAGATATCAGATCAGTTGTTGCATCCTCACCAATATTCACTATAAATTGCTGAACAGTGTCAGTAACTTGTTCTATTTGCTGTGCAAGTGAGATATGCTGACCCTGCATAAACACTAATCTAGCTTAACTACTACAAAACTAATAATCATAGAGTTCGTATATGATAAAACTATTACCAATTCCGAGCCACTTGAGAATATAATACCAGCACCAGCAGAAGCATAATTAACCCCAAGAACCATCTCTTCAATAGAACCAGCCTGTCCTAGATAGCTAGGCACAAATGGTAACCCAAGACGCAACGCTGATACAATCAAAATGCACAAGAAATAATTAATAGAAAATTAGTTATCTTTAACCAAAAGATCCTAAGAATTCATCATTGAATTCCACAAAACCAGTACAGACATTTTGAGCTTGAATAGGATAAAAGACAAGAAATTTACAGCAAAAGATCCATAGTCGATTCATTGAAAGTCGAATAGTTAGTTCTCAAAGACAATTAATCAAACACGTAGCAGTCTCAAATATCAAAACTCGATCAAAAAATATAATAATCAAGAATTCATCACTGAATTCCACAAAATGAGAACAATTTTTTGAGCTTAAGCCTTAAATAGGATAAACAAGACAAGATATTAACAGAAAAGATCCATAAACCATTTCATTGAAAGTTCAAATTTTTTTCTCTCTCAGACAATTGATCAAACACTACCAGTCTGAAGTCTCAAATCTCAAAACTCGAGCCAAAAAAATCGAAACTTTTCCCCAAATTTTACTACCCAAACACCCCATTGATAAAATTACCTAGATAATCGACTGGGATTCTTCCATTGCAAAATCGACCAGTAGGTTGATGAGTATCAAAATCACGACCATAAGGAAGCCTATCAGCACGAGCAAAAGTCCCAAGAAAGTTATTCGTACCACAATCAACAGAAGAATCACCAATAATGAATAGAGCCGGAACAAGAGGAGCAGTAGGAGGACGAAAAATTGGAGAGGAAGAGGTCGGAAAAGACGGGGTTAATGACGGAAAATCAAAAACAGAATCATGGGTTATGAGATCTTGAGGGTAAATGAGAGCTTTAGCTTCTGGGTGTACGAAAAAAATGAAGATGAACAGAATCTTGATTACAGAGAAATCCATGGCGGATACAGAGAGTGAGTAAAGAAGATGAAGAAGAAAAAATTAACTGCTTTTGGCGGGAGAGTATAACCAACCTGTTAATTTTCTTTTCCCAAATTGTCCTTATATTATAGTTGCACACTAGTTCTTCTTTCCGTGCCAATTTACCTGATATTTTTCGTTGAGATTTCAACCTGTTATACGATTCTCTATTTGCATTAATGATATGTATTTCTTATATTGAAGATACAACTTAATATTTATTTTATATTTTTTAGGATTTATTTGTCCATTTGTAACTTAGAGTCTGTTTGACATTACAGATAAAATTGCTTATTTTTAGAAATACTTTTTAAAAATGACTTTTAAAAAAAGTGCTTTTGAAAAAATGTAATTTGTGTTTGGCTAATTCGTTTGAAAAGTGTTTTTGATAAGCAAATTGTGTTTGACAATATTTTTTAAAAAGTGTTTTTAAAAGGTTAAGTATATATTGAGGAAAATAGTAATAGTTGATTGATATTTCTATTTGTGTTGCCCTAAAACTAAAAAGTAATTTTCTTTTATTTGAAACCCTTCTTTTGCCGTAGCTATGGCAGGTTGGGCAGAGCTTCCCAACGATCTTATTGCTCACATTGCAAATCGTGTTAAAGTGATCGAAGATTTCATTGCTTTTCGTGCCGTTTGTACCGCTTGGCGAATTGCCGCTACAAAGGACAATTTTGATGTTTTTTACCCCCAAGTTCCGTTGTTTATGCTGGGTGCCAAAGATGACAATTTTCAAGAATTTTATTCTCTTTCGAAGAAGAAAGTTTCGCGCATATTTCTCCCGGAAGTTAGAGGGTCAGAGTATCTATCAACAGAGGGATGGTTCTGCACAGTGGTAAATAAAACGGGAGAGATGAATTTGTTGCACCCTTTCAATCACAAAAAAATACAACTACCTTCTCGAAAAGCCCTTTTGACTTTCCATGATCTCGATGCTTTCGAAAAACATCATTGGCTCTGCATAGACAGAGCTGTCTTGTCTGCCAATCCTTCTCTTACGTCAGATTATGTATTGATGGTGCATCATTATGTAGCTGGTTGTTGTTTGTCGTTTTGGCGACCTGGAGACCTCGACTGGACTCATATTGATGTTAGTCATATTCACAGTAGAGTCGCCGCTCTAATTTATCACAAAGGCGAGTTTTATTCCACTGATAATGATGGCGAAATATGGGCTCATCAAGTTGGTGCTGATCAACCAATCGTAATGACACGTTTGGTTGCCGAGATTAACCAACTTAATGAGATGAACGAGCATATGTTTATGTTTCGTTTGCACCTAGTTGAGTTATCAGGTGCACTATTAGTTGTCTCTCGATTTGATGATGATTCAAATGGTACTTTTCACACCTTCAAATATAAAGTCTATGAACTAGACGTAATCAGAGGTGAATTGAAGGAGATGAAAGCCTTGGGAGATTCGTCCATCTTCTTGGGTCTCAATTGGGCAACTTGCATTGACTCTTCTAAATTTATCGGAATCAAACCTAATCACATATATTTTGCCGGTGATGTGTTAGAAGAACTCATAGAAGATATGGGTGCTTATAATTTGGAAGATGGAAAAATTGAATCTTTCTATCCTGGACAATCATTAAGTTTAATTTATCCGCCAACTTGGATTATGCCATCACTAATAATGTGATTTTATTTAGTTTGGTGAATTATTATATATATTCACTATTTATTATTTTTACTTATTATCAGCTAGTTGTTGTTGGGATTGTTGTTACATTGGATAAATGATTGTTATTTTTACAGAACACAAAACATTCTCTATCGGAAAGGGCACAACCATTTGCAAAAGTCACAATCATTCGAAAAAGTTACAACCCTTTGGAAAAATCACAACTCTATAGAAAAGTCACAATTTTTCAGAAAAATCACAACTCTTCATTTTTCATTCATACCTTTTAAAACTCAACATTAAGCTATGCACTATTATAAATAGGTTGCTGTTAACTATTTTTAATTGTGAGAAATAGAAAGAACCCGTGGAATTATTTGAGTTTACTTGTGTCTTCTTTAAAAACTATGGCCGATTGGGCAAACCTTCCCAAGGATCTTATTGCTCGCATTGCAAATCGTGTTGAAGTGATTGAAGATTTTATTGCTTTTGGTGCCGTTTGTACCTCTTGGCGAATTGTCGCTACAAAGGACAATTTCGACGTGCTTTCTCCCCAAGTTCCGTTACTAATGCTGGCTGACAAAGATGAGGACCATCATCAAATAATTTATTCTCTTTCCAAGAAGAAAGTTTCGCCCATATTTCTCCCGGAAGTTAGAGGGTCAGATTGTGTATCAATTAAGGAGGGATGGCTCTGCACCGTGGTAAATGATACAGGAGAGATGAATTTGTTGCACCCTTTCTCTCGCGAAAAAATACATCTTCCCTCTCTAAATGCCTTATTGAATTTCCATGATCGTGTTGGTTGCGAAATAAATCATTGGGGCTGCATAGACATAGCTGTCTTGTCTGCCGATCCTTCACTTACGTCAGATTATATACTCATGGTGCATCATTATGGACCTGCCAATTGTTTGGCATTTTGGCGATCTGGAGACCTCAATTGGACTCATATTGATGCTGCTAATTTCACCGGTGGGGTTTCCGCTATAGTTTATCACAAGGGCGAATTCTATTCCATGAGTCACTGTGGCAAAGTACGGGCTTATGAAGTTGCAAGGCCTAATACTAGTGATCAACCAATTGTGAAGACACGTTTGGTTGTTGAGATGGACGAATATTCATTTAATCCGCATGTAGCTGAGTATTACGTAGTTGAGTTATCTGGTACATTATTACTTGTTGCCAAGTTTATCAAAAGTAATAGTGACAATCCATACAGTACTTATCATATCTCCAAATTTAAAGTCCATGAACTAGACTTAATCAGAGGTGAATTGAAAGAGGAGATGAAAATTTTGGGAAATGTGTCAATGTTTTTGGGTAATAATTGGGCAAGTTGCATTGACTCTTCTAAATTTTGCGGAGTCAAGCCTAATCACATATATTTTGCCGATAAGTGGTTATTTTATTCTGGCAATACAGATATGGGTGCTTATAATTTGGAAGACAGAAAAATTCAATCTTTTTATCATGGACGACGTTCAATTTGTTCGCCAACTTGGGTTATGCCATCATTGACGAAGTGATTTTATTTGTCCCTCCTATTCAATAATGCATGGATTATAAGAGTTCCTGTTTGTTTTCAGTTTGATGAATTATTATTTTTATTATTTATTCTCATTGTAAATCACATTACTTCCCTTTGATTTCAATAATTGTAACAGTAACACCCCCTCTCTCTCGTAGTACCTTTCTATCTTCGAATTTCGATGCTTCCTTCTTCATCTTTCAGAAATATTTTGGTTTCTTGATGATTCATTAACTATTACATGTTAAAAATTGCATCTTCCTTGTTTCTTTCCATTTGCCCTACTGCAGGCACAAAGCGAAATTACGATTGTGCCAAATTACACTTTGTATTTGTTGCTAGTTGATATAGACGCGAAACAGGGCGCAGCACATTTGTTGTTTTTTGAGTTCTACAACTTCACTCACATTGTTAATTGAGAAAAAAAATCAAATATGTCATCAAACTCTGAGAAAAAGCTCATTTATGCCATTATTTGTTAACTGATGTATGACATAGATAAGACTTTGATTAAAATTTTCAACAAACTAAAAACAAGCAATAACACCGAGAGCAGAGCAATCTTAGTGATGCCACAACCCAAGTTGGCGGACAAATAGGACTAAGTGACAATCCAGGATAAATAGATTCAATTTGTCCATCTTCGAAATTGTAAGCCCTCTATCTCTTCCAGCACCATCCACAAGAAGCTGAACTTCTCATACAAATCATCCGTAAAATATATATAATTACGCATCAATTGAACATGCTCCAGTATTAAAGCCCCAAAAAATGGCTGAATCTCCAACGTTGTAATCTCCTCCTCCTTTTAAGTCACCCTGATTACATTTACTTCAAAGACATATATCTATGATATGCTCGGGAGAACGGCCAAATTGGGTAATAAATAATAGCTTATCGGATAACTAATACTGAACTGAATTCTGAAGAAATATATCATCAAAGTAAGGATTGCTCTACATCGATTGTTTTGGGAGTGGTAGGCCCTGCAACTTCAAAAACTCAGAATTCGCCAGGAGCGGTAACATAATAGAATTTACCATTATAATAATTCATACAAAATTTAATTATGTGTGTGTTTTGTGTAGGCATGATTCGCTTAACAGAGGAATTGGAAAAGTCACAATCTTTTAGAATAGTCGCAACCCTTAAAAATAGTCACAGTCTTTCAGAAAAAGTCACAACTCTTCATAAAAGTCACAACTCTTCAAATCTTTTAAAACTCTAACAGTAGGTCTTTGCTAGGGTGTTTTTTTAAATTATTATCAGTTGTGAGAAATAGAAAGAACCCGTTGAAATGTTGTGGAGAATTATTTGAGTTTCCTTTAAAAACTATGGCCGATTGGACAAATCTTCCCAACGATCTTATTCCTCACATTGCAAATCGTGTTAAAGTGATTGAAGATTTTATTGCTTTTGGTGCAGTTTGTACCTCTTGGCGAATTGCCGCTACAAAGGACAATTTCAATGTGCTTTCTCACCAAGTTCCGTTCCTTGTGATGGCTGACGGAGATGATGATCGTTATCAAAAAAATTATTCTCTATCCAAGAAGAAGGTTTCACTCATATTTCTGCCGGAAGTTAGAGGGTCAAAGGTTGTACCAATTAAGGAGGATGGCTCTGCACCGTGGCAAATGATACGGGAGAGATAAATTTGTTGCACCCTTTCTTTAGCAAAAAAATACACCTTCCCTCCCTAAATGCCTTATTGAATTTCCATGATTGCGAAACAAATCATTGGGGCTGCATATACGTAGCTGTCTTGTCTGCCAATCCTTCTGTTACGTCAGATTACGTACTCATGGTGTTTCATTATGGATCTGACAATTGTTTGGCATTTTGGCGACCTGGAGACCTCAATTGGACTAATATTGATGTTTCTAATAATTTCACTGGTAGGCCTTCCGCTCTAGTTTATCACAAGGGCGAATTTTACTCCATGCGTCACAGTGGCATAGTACAAGCTCATAAAGTTGCAGGGCCTAATACTAGTGATCAACCAATTGTGAAGACACGTTTGGTTGTTGAGATGGCTGAATATACATTTAATCCGCATGTAACTCAGTATTACCTAGTTGAGTTATCTGGTGCACTATTACTTGTTGCCCAGTTTGACAAAAGAAATATGGACTTTCCAAACGGACCCCTTTTTTATCACACCATCAAATTTAAAGTCCATGAAGTAGACATAACCAGAGGTGAATTGAAGGAGGAGATGAAAACGTTGGGAAATTTTTCAATGTTTTTGGGTGATAATTTGGTAAGTTGCATTGACTCTTCTAAATTTAGCGGAGTCAAACCTAATCACATATATTTTGCCGATAAGGGGTCATTTTATTCGAGGAATAAAAATATGGGTGCTTATAATTTGGAAGATAGAAAAATTCAATCTTTTAATCATGGAGGACTAATAACATGGTCAATTCGTCCGCTAACTTGGTTTATGCCATCATTGACCAAGTGATTTTATTTGTCCCTCCAATTAAATAATGCTCAGATTATAAGAGTTTTCAGTTTGATGAATTATTATTATTATTTTTAATATTTATTCTCTAGTTGTAATCTTGCCAGACATGTGATATTTAATTCCAAATCACATTACTTACTTCCCTTTGATTTCCATAAATTGTAACAGTAACACCCTCTCTCTCTCTCGTATCTTCGAATTTCGATGCTTCCTTCTTCATCTTTCAGAAAGATTTTGGTTTCTTGATGTTTCATTCACTATTACATGTAATATATTTCATTTACAAATTACATCTTCCTGGTTTCGTTCCATTTGCTGTACTACAGGCACAGAGCGAAATTACGCATTGTATTTGTTGCTAGTTGATATAGACGTGAAGCATGGCGCATTTGTTGTTTTTTTTTGAGTTCTGCAACTTCATTTACATTGTTAATTGAGAAAAGATTAATCAAATATGAGCTTAACTTTTAACGAATGACATAGGTAAGACTTTTTCTCAAAGTTAAATCTGTTACGATGAAATATATTAACATATATATAATTCAACAAACTAAAAACAAACCATAAATCCTAGAGCAATCACATTATTAGTGATGTGATAACCCAAGTTGGCGGACAAATATGATATGACTAAGTGACAATCCAGGATAAATAGATTCAATTTGTCCATCTTCAAAAATATAATTAGGCTTGATTCCAGGAAATTTAGAAGAATCAATTGAACATGCTCCAGTATTAAATTAAAGCCCAAAAAAATGGCTGAATCTCCCAAGGTTTTAAACATCTACTTCAAGGACATTAAATTTATTGGTCTTATAACTATGATGCTCTGGAGAACGGGCAAGTCGGGTAATAAATAATAGCTTATCAGATAGCTCGACTAGGTAATACTGAACTGAATGCTGAAGAAATATATATCTTTGGACCAATAAAGCAAGCGTTGCTCTACATCGATTGGTTTGGGAGTGGTAGGCCCTGGAACTTCGAAAACCCAGAATTTGCCATGAGTGGTAACATTATAATAATTCATACAAAATTTAATTATATGTGTGTTTTGTGTAGGCCTGATTCGCTTAACAGGGGAATTGGAAAAGTGATAACCATTCGAAAAAGTCACAACCCTTCGGAAAAGTCACAATATTTTAGAAACATCGCAACCCTTCAAAATAGTCAGTCTTTCAGAAAAGTCGCAACTTTTTAGAAAAATCACAACCTTTTAGAAAAGTCGCAACCCTTCAAAATAGTCACATTCTTTTAGAAAAGTTGCAACTCTTTAGAAAAGTCACAACTCTTCATAAAAGTCGCAACTCTTCAATCTTCCATTCCCACCTTTTAATTTAAAACTCAATATTAGGCTTTGCATTATTATAAATAGGGTGTTGTGAGGTATTTTCAATTGTGAGAAATAGAAAGAACCCCTGGAAATATTGTGGAGAATTATTTGAGTTTCCTTCTGTCTTCTTTAAAAACTATGGCTGACTGGGCAAAACTTCCCAACGATCTTATTGCTCACATTGCAAATCGTGTTAAAGTGATTGAAGATTTTATTGCTTTTGGTGCAGTTTGTACCTCTTGGCGAATTGCCGCTACAAAAGACAATTTCGATCTACTTTCTCCCCAAGTTCCATTCCTTATGCTGGCTGACGAGCACGATGACCGTTATCAAGAATTTTATTCTCTTTCCAAGAAGAAGGTTTCGCGCATATTTCTCCCGGAAGTTAGAGGGTCAAAGGTTGTATCAATTAAGGAGGGATGGCTCTGCACCGTGGTAAATAATACGGGAGAGATGAATTTGTTGCACCCTTTCTCTCGCAAAAAAATACACCTTCCGTCCCAAAATGCCTTATTGAATTTCCATGATGGCACTGGTTACGAAACAAATCATTGGGGATGCATAAACTTAGCTGTCTTGTCTGCCAATCCTTCTCTTACGTCAGATTATGTACTCATGGTGCATTTTTATGGACCTGACATTTGTTTGGCATTTTGTCGACCTGGAGACCTCAATTGGACTCATATTGATGTTGCTAATTTCACTGCTGGGGTTTCCGCTCTAGTTTATCACAAGGGCGAATTTTATTCCATGAGTCGCAGTGGCAAAGTACAAGCTTTGGAATTTGCAGGGCCTAATACTACTGAACAACCAATTGTGAAGACACTCTTGGTTGTTGAGACTGACGAAAATACATTAAATCCGCGTGTAGTTGAGTATTACCTAGTTGAGTTATCAGGTGCACTACTACTTGTCATCCAGTTTGCCATAAGTACTTGTGACGGTACTAATCACACCACCAAATTTAAACTATATGAAGTAGACATAACCAGAGGTGAATTGAAGGAGGAGATGAAAACCTTGGGAAATTTTTCAATGTTTTTGGGTAATAATTGGGCAAGTTGCATTGACTCTTCTAAATATAGCGGAGTCAAGCCTAATCACATATATTTTGCCGATAAGTGGTTAAATTATTCTAGCTATTTAGATATGAGTGCCTATAATTTTGAAGATGGAAAAATTGAATCTTTCTATCCTGGTCCTGGACGACGGGCACAACGTTTAATTTGTCCGCCACCTTGGGTTATGCCATCATTGATGAAGTGATTTTCAGTTTCTATCCTCGGATTATAAGAGTTACTTGTTTGTTTTCAGTTTGATGAATTATTATTTTTACTATTTATTCTCATTGTAATCTTGCCAGACATATGATATTTAATCCCAAATATATTAAGGATTTGATATTTATATAATTCATGTCTAAATAGGATTTTTAACCTAAATAAGGTAGGAATAGATTTTTTAGTCCTGGTAAATTAGGTTATGTGCTATTATAAATAGGGGCCTTGCTAGCTATTTTTAATTGTGGAAAAAAATATTTTCTTTCACCATGGCAGGTTGGGCAGAACTCCCCAACGGTCTTATTGTTAACATTGCAAATCGTGTTAAAGTGATTGAAG